AGCGGCTTCTATACACCAAGGACTATTTCCATGAATGCTCATACATTTATAAACAATGGTGTACACGAAGATGACAGTGAACATCTTGGATGTCATGTGATATGCTCCAACGGCACAGATTGAGAGGAGGAAGAAAATGAATGTGATTATGTGAAAATTAGAAAATGACGTAATTTCATCGATGTACATCACAAACTACTCTCGATGAATGATTCAACTCAACTCATTCGCCAGATGATCATGGATTTTGTCTCTGCATAGTTGCTCTCCGCAAGATAACAATAATATCTATGCAACTAAGCATATGGCTTTTAGACTCCGAGGTTTCGGAGGTCAGTCTTGTTTCTTCCTTAGAAACAAGACTGAACAACAAGAACAAGCGATTTCCCCTCTTATAAGTTCTGACAGAAAAAAACACAAGAGAATCTCATTGCTCCCACAAATGTTGCAGCATCGTACCAATCAGCCTGAGTAAGTACAAGCTCCTTTGATGACAGAGTAGCCCGTCCATCGTGACGGGATTTTGAAATTATCTCGAGGTTATTAGATTGTGGATTAAATACAGTAGAGATAGTACAACAAGAATTTGGGACGTGAGATTTGGAGATCAACAAATCGTCCTTTGGATAAACCACGTTGATAGGTCACTCGGTTCTCTGTTGTAATTTCACCCGTGCACCCTGTTTTATTACTAATCTATGGGTACTTAGCCACCCACATGGATCTATGAAATCCATATCACATAATAGTGAAGTCTGACTCCGGCATCTGCCCTATCTCATGTATTTTCCTCACTTAAAAGTGTAAGATGATCCTGAATCTATTTGGAGGTTTCTTTTATTCTCCTAGTATATCAAGGACGCCCTTCACCCGCACAAAAAGCCGAGAAAGAAAAGTCCATGACAACAACAAAAATTGTCAGACATGCAACAAGAAAGAACAAGAACTTTTCTAAATATCTTTTTACCCCAGTGAAGTGGAGTTTCAGTTTACACCATAGAATGCCAACAACCAGAATTGCCATCATCTATTGATCATGACCATTTCACATCAAAATTTTTCCCCAACATTCAATGCCAAAACTACTCCCTGGTTTAGGGTCATCACTTCGCGTGAATCTCTTGTCAACTTAGTTCCAGGAATACTATAGTTCCCCCATACGTGTATTTTGTCAGCAATACTCAATTCTCTTCTAATGCAATTATCAGTACTTGCTAGAACAAGCTTGCTTAAAGTTATTGCTTTCTATTCAAAATCACATATTTTGATTATGTATAACTTCGACTATTTTAATATATGATCAATGTAACAAAACGTAAAATGTCGTTTGTTCAAGTTCATTTGTTTCTTTGCAATTTCTTTACCTACGGGATTACACATTCAAGTAAACAGTAAATCCCAACATAAGATAATTTCTGAATATATATATATATATATATAGTGGAGAAAATTTGAAGTTCAGCGCCAAACTTTATCTCCATCTGTTCAGCCATTTCTGTCATTTAAAATTATTTCTCTAACGTCTTCAATCTTTTGACTATAGAAATCAAATATACTACTTTGGCATTTCAATTTTTAATAATAAAAATGATTCAACAAATAAAGTGTGATGAAATATATGCTTATAGCTATGTTGATATGTCACTAAAAATCCCATATAGGTCTTGCTTTGAGCTAGTCGCTTACTCACGCGAAGATTTTGTCGCATTTTAAATATCAATTGAGTTTACATGGATATAAAACTAACAGATCAAACCAAACAAGGAGCGAGGCCTCATAGAATCGTTTATCACATCAGAAGTACCAAGTCACATGATTATTGTTTAGAAAATGAAAACATTTTCGGGCAATATGGACGGTAATGGTCCATCAATTTACAATATTAGTCTTTTTCTCATGGAACACATCCAAAATCTAATCCAGGAAGTTTCCATACCATAAGATAAGGCTAAGACCTTATATCTCTAACGGGATTCTATTAACAAATCAGGAAGAAGAAGAAAAATAAATAGAAGGAGAGATTCAAGGTGAATGACTTAATGCAATGCAAGGTTGAGTCTTGCACTCGACGGTTCCACAAAGCACATCTACCAGATCTCAGTCAAGACTCGGTGATAGTTGTCACATGGATTGAAAAGGCTTGTCTAATTGATATCGGTGGCAAATTACTAACAAAGTTCAATCTTCTGATTTTACTCCATGTATGGCATACTTGTCACTATTTACCATTTACTAAGAATCACTGCATGTGAACTAGTCAAAGTATAAAGTCAATGAGAAAGTCATACCATAGAGACTCCATGAAAAGATCCTCATAACTTATGACGTCATCGTGTAATGTGATTCCCCACTGGACTTCAGTCAACCGTGTGTACGTTCCTTGATACTGATATTTTGATGAGTTCCTCTCAAAGTGTTCAACGGAATCTAATTTGGATGTATGGAAAGCCTGCCGGTTGGTGTGGAAATCATCAGACTGTTGACCACATACAGTCGCATGATTTGAAACATTCCACACGGGATTCCAGTTCGGAATCATTTAGAAATTTTCGATTAGGGTCTGATAAAGGCCACAAACAGTGGAATTATCATTTCCACTTTCAACTATGATTCTATACTGGCTAGTTTTCGTTACTTCTCAGAACCTACTGCTGCTTAGAGTACAATCTCATAAGCAGCCTTCCCGAGAGCTGATTTTAACTCAAAATGCATCCAAATACAAGGCCTATGTGGGTTGAGTTTAATAACTGTTGGCAACTTATTTGAATATATGAGTTATATGCTTAAATCAGGATTTAGATGTGAATCCCTTTCCCCATAGTTTGAAAAAAATCCAGTGCTTCGTTGATATCATTTTTATTCAACCCTTATCTCTTAATAAGGATAAGAACTTCAATATAAATTATTGTGGGTCAGTAAATACATTGATCATTATTTTATTCATGGGTCAAAATATTTTATACATGATCAATCACTAAATTGCGTTTATTTTATATTTTATATTTTATGAAAGATCATATATAAAAATTAAATTATTCAAATTATATCTTCATAAAATCAAAAAAGCCTAGATAAGCTATATAGGCATAGCCTCTGTTTTCTTTTCTTCTTTTCTTCATTGAAGGTTTGATGGAAATTTTTTTATTTCTTGCTAATTTTCGCTTAAACCTACCTTCCTTAAAATTATTAAACATACCAGCTTACCAAAAAAATTGATCTCTACTTTATGCAAAAAAAAATTACATTCATTAAAATAATCTTTTCATACGTTCATAAAAAACTATAAATTTTAAACAAAAATTTTAAACCTGTTATTTTCAATTCAAAACGATTTATCAGATTTTCACAATTGTACATCATAGTCAAAGATCAATTTCACATTGTTACACTTTCATGAAACCATAATGGTACTAAATTTTAGATGTGTGAATTTTCAGTAACATTCACTGATTTATATGATTCATGGTATTGATATATAATTTGTTTATCACTAATAAAATCAATAATAACTTCATGTGTTTTTATCGATGGGATTGGTCTTAAGAAGTCATTGGTAAACACAGTAATCTATCATATGTGTGAAGGTAGATCAGATCTTCTGATTTTATGGAACTTTAAAATACATCCAGAGATTTTGAATATACTATGACAAATTTGCCAACTTTGATAGTTAAATGATGTCCTTCGGAGTGTGGTCCCAAATGAATTCTAATGTGGGCTAATTTGGCATTAACTCTTAGTTATTTTATTTATTTATTTGTGCTCAGCTTTTTCAACTCCACATCTCTATAATGACAATAACCTGTTTCCTCAATTCCTATTACTTCACGTACTGAGGATTGCAGTATGTGCTAGTTATCCTTTGATGAATAAACGTATTGTGGTTGTACCAAGCTTCATTCTTCACATTGTATTAGAGAGACTACATGATGTATTATATGTTGATCAAAAGTTTTTGATTCTCCAATTATCTTGCATCTATTCGAAAGATGATGTGGAATTTTATGAGAGTAAGCGTATCTTTGTCAGGTGTTGAAATGTCAGACCTGAAGAATAGTACTTGTAGGAAATTGTACTTCTCTATCGGCTTCGCAACATGAATTCCACTACCCTGATGTTCGATACAATTGTGGGGAGTTGCACAATATAATAATAATAAAAGTCTGCACATGCTCATCTTTTGATTTGATCTTTCTACGCAGCCAACTAGATAAAGGGATCTCAAAACTATTTACAAATATAGTATTGGTGGTTTTGGTTCCAAATGACCAGCAGTTGACCATCACTGTTTCATTAATGGAAGATGTGTGCGTTGGATAGAGGGTGTCTTTACGGTAGATCTTCTTTACTGCTTTCTTGGCCAAATCTTGTATGGTCACTTGGTTGCTCAGCGCTGGTCGCGTGAGCATTTTCAAAAGAAGGAAACCAAAAGAGGAAAATATAATAAAACTGTAGAAGCGCTAACTGCATTTTCAGGAGCCAAAAAAATATGCATCGAATCCTCACTATATGTAAAACAAATTTTGCTTCGCAATCACCAGGTAATACATGTGAACCTGCGCCATTAAGATCAGAACTCCTGGATGTTCAACAGGTAATTTCTTAGATTCATGTGTATATGTGAATATCAAACGGATAGTAGAGGGTAGATGAAGTGCAGGAAAGTTGAAGCTCCGCAGAGTGCGAGTTATTTAGTGCCTGCTACTTCGATATATTGATAGCGCAAAATGTTTCTGATCTGGGCAATGCTTCGTTTGCCTAACTGGCTCCAATTGGCCTCAAAATTGGTCGTTCGGGGATAAAAAGACTGAAAACCGTGACATATACATTTCATCAGCAGGGTAAAAATTTACTGGCTTAACGGCTATCCAGGCAATCGCGAATCGAACATAGAGCTTTAAGACGTGTCGGGCACTCAGAGATCAATTTGATACGAATTCCAATTCTACGAAACAGAAGACTACAAAACCTTTGCGCCAGGAAATACCGAGCCGGTGCAGGTAGTTCACAAAGTGACATTGGTCCATCCCAATCTAGTTAACTTGTCGGACTCGTGTATGCTTCTAAGAGAGTGTGTACCAATAATCTATTCAAAGGTCGCTCTGCCCCCACCTAAGGTCTAGCTCTGCCGTACTAATGTCAGTGTGCTTCTGCGATGTGACTGTGAAAACTTCACAATACTTCGATACGATCCTTGCAAATTTCCAGAAGCTATCCTCCGATAGCTCAGTTGTCCTAAGCCTGTCTTGGACCCTCAGTAAACGTCCAGACATACCTGAAAGAGTGAATCAGAGGAACGCTGATGTCTGACGAGAATGTGTCTTTTTTCTATAAAGCTCCGAGGACGATGGAAGTTAGTCGCAATAGCATGTCCTACTTCTTGACGATGTCCGCATAATGGTTGGGAGTAGACTTGGCAGATGCCACAAACTTCACTTACTGTCTGAGGAGTACCGATTAGACGATTCAGAATTTTGAGCTTGCATAGTAATAGCATCGATTCAACTGGTGGCTATGCAATCCTCTCTGCCTCAATATGCATCGAAATCGTTCCGCCTCCTGACTTCAGGATGTCTCTCATATGGTGTGGGTGATGAGTCCAGTCGATTGTCCACATACAGCTCTTTGTTCCAGAAGATATTTGTCCATCCATTCTCTTGAAGTCAAGCCGACTCGTACGTGATGTTGTGACAAATTTTTCTGATTCTACAGTTTCAAACATTTTAGTCTTTGCCTTGTGTGATGTGGACGAGATTTGCTTGCTCCTGTAAGGCACCGGCTGCATACAAGTGAGCGCATCAACAGCGTTGCAGACCATGTAAAAACACAAATTGGAATGCACGATGTGATGTTTGGGGTCCTCATTTAGCCCAAGGTATTAGAATTCGAGCTGTTTTTGGCCAGGAGAGTGGTATCCAATGGGGCAGTTTTACCCTGAGCCGTCGTTTCGGAGCTTCAAGGCATATGGAAATGCACTCTCAGAAACACCTTGGAGGTTTTACCAGCGCCTCGTGACCAGGTCTTCCTTGGGAGAGGAAACAGGGGACATGGTGAGGCGTAGCGGAAGTGGCATGAAGAAAAATCTTACGTGGTGGGATTTGATGTGGTTCACCATCGGTGCAGTCATAGGCGCAGGAGTGTTCGTTCTCACGGGCCAAGAGGCCAACCAAACAGCTGGTCCTGCAGTTGTACTCTCATACGCTGCAGCAGGATTTGCTGCTATGCTCGCTGTTCTTGCTTACACCGAATTCGCCTGCGAGATTCCCGTAGCGGGTAAGTGCTGCTGTCAACCCGTAGTCATAATCTACTACCGATTAGAGAACATGGCCTGCTTAAAAACAAAACATCGAGATATTATTTTGATGCTCAGGGCCATGCGGCTTCAAGGAAATTGAAACACATTCATGTAATCTTGCGAATGAATTTAGGGTGTCCAGAGCTGTGGTGCTCTGGACACCCTAAAAGAAGATTCCTTGGTTTAGGTTATCCTCCACCTTATAATTGCAATCTGTCATCGTCGAACAGAGTTTCTTTTTGAGGGTCAAATGCATACCACCTCATGTTTTTCATTTCCTCAACTCTTACAACTTTGTTTGATCACATCAGGCTAAAATTGCGCCGAGAAGTAAAACAACAAAAGTGGAACAACAGGCTCGCACTGCGAGCGTGTCTACTTTGACCGGTCAATAGTAGATCATAACATTCACTCAGCAGTAACTATGTGATTCATTAATGAATAGCCGTCGGATCAGCCGATCAAACAGATCTTCCAACTCTCCGACAGTCTATGTCAACGATGAGAGACATTTCGTTGACGTTTGTTTTCCTCGCGACTTTCTGTCGTGTCCGAACGTATTCCATTTGGGGATTAATTGGATCAAGTGGCAATAGTCGGTGTGGCCGAGATCCGAGAATGTAGGAATCTGCAAGTGCATTGTATTCATGAAACTTCTGAATGACCATAGATGGGAAGGCGAATGATGTGTTTGCATCTGAATTGAAATCTCAGAGTATATTTCATGAGGAAAACAGAGACGATTTTGAGTATATTTTGTACGAAGCAGACTTCGGCCTTGATCCTCTACATAGAAGTGCTCTCACGAGTCAGGCCTTTCACCACCTGCTTGCACAGCCCCAACCTATTTGTTCTGACTGAAGAATGTTGGCTAAATCCCCGAAAGATCTGTCTGTGATCTTCTTTAATGGAAACCTCGTCCTGTAGTTTCTAATAGTATTAAAGGCCAGGCCAGGTAATCCACGCCCTGCAATGGTGGTCGGGTACTGAGGGTTTGTTTGATTCTCTCGGGGCAAACTTCAGCCTGAAGCTTCTTCTTATTTTATCACGGCCACTTCATCCGCAAGGCCCTATTTTTACCGAGTGAAGAATGGTGATTGAGTGCATTCATTCGATTCTTTGACACTGATGAATGTATACGAACTGAAGAAAATGATGTGACCGTGAAAAAATGTTATGTGTGTTCATAGGAGGATCGTTTGCTTATCTAAGAGTCGAGCTAGGCGATTTCGTGGCGTTCATCGGAGCCGGCAACATAATTCTCGAGTACATCGGAGCAGGTGCTGCCGTCGCTCGAGCATGGACAGATTACTTCACATCCTTGATCGACAAGCAGGCCGACGACCTCCGAATTTCAACAGACCTGGCGGACGGGTACAATCTGTTGGACCCGCTGGCTGTGGGGGTGCTGCTGGTAACCATGCTCATAGCCATTTACAGCACCAAGGGATCATCCATTCTCAACTGGGTAGCGTCCATCATCAACATGGTTATCATACTCTTCGTCATTGTGGCCGGGCTGCGGTTTGCTGACACGGACAACTACACGCCGTTTAATCCCTACGGCGCGCACGGTATCTTCAGGGCGGCTTCTGTGCTCTTCTTCGCCTACTTGGGGTTCGACGCCGTGTCCACCATGGCCGAGGAAACGAAGAACCCCGGCCGAGACATCCCCATCGGCCTGGTGGCAGCCATGGTCATCACCACAGTCATCTACTGCCTCATGGCCCTGACCCTTTGCCTCATGGTCCCGTATGAACAGATCAACCCGCGGGCGGGCTTCTCGTACGCCTTCGAATCCGTGGGCTTGAACTGGGCCAAGTACCTGGTTGCGCTCGGCGCGCTAAAGGGCATGACCACGGTCATTCTCGTCAGCAATGTCGGCCAGGCTCGTTACCTGACCCACATAGCGCGGACGCATATGGTGCCGCCGTTCTTTGCCAACGTGAACGCCTGGACCAAAACGCCCATTAACGCCACGGTGGCCATGACCCTGGCCACGTGTGTAGTGGCCTTCTTCACGGACCTGTCCATCCTGGGCAACCTTCTGTCCGTCAGCACTCTCTTCATGTTCTCGCTAGTTGCACTGGCGCTCTTGATCCGGAGATACTACGACCCGGTTCAGACCACCCCGCGCGAGCTCGGAGTTCTCGTGGCCAGCTTGATCGTCATCATCGGCGCCTCGGTGGCAATAGCGGGATACTGGGCCTCCACCACGGAAAGTGAGGACTGGGTGGGCTACGTCATCGCCGTTCCGATCTGGGCTCTGGGCACCGCTGCCATCCAGTTCTTCTGTCCGAAGCGTCGGATTCCCAAAGTTTGGGGAGTTCCTTGGGTGCCGTGGCTCCCGTCACTGACCATCGCGTTCAATTTTTTTCTGCTTGGATCCATGGACAAAGACTCATACATCCGCTTTGCGGTATGGACTGCTGCCATTCTTGTCTATTACTTCTTCGTTGGGCTGCACGCATCGTATGATGCCGCGGTTGAACTGAGACTGGTGGGCGTTGACGAGCACCTCTCGGATCCAGCGACCGTCCCTTCTGATCTTACTGCCAGTGTTCATGACGAGTATGACAATGATCTCAAACCGAAGCAGCCTCCTCAGCTTTCGGCTGATGACACAAATGGGACGAAAACTGGTCCTTGAAAAGTATGGATTGACTGTAATAGTGAAAGAGAGTCACTCATGCACAGGCTTAGCACAATATAGTTCGATTACTGTCACAAGAAGCTAACCGCAAATAGTGCTAGCTTTTTTGTATCACAAGACCCTGTCGATATACTTTTCATTTCATGCATACGCGTTCAAATCTATCTGCTGTTGCACATCGTCCTGCTCTCGTGAACACACATTGATAAAATGTGACGACTGACATGAAGAGCTAGAAGACAGTTATTGCATATTTGCATATGCTCTGTCAAATTTTGACAGAGCTTTTGATTGTTTAGGCAAACCGGCTGATGAGGATGGAATGAATTTGCTTTAGTCATGTTTGAATTACTCACCATTCTCCTCCCGTTTCAGAGTTTCCGGTTCTGTTGCTAGAAAGGAGTTGCAGCGGAGAAAGAGGTTATGGTAGTCAGGAAGCAAATATGCAGCTGAGCGATTCTCGTACAAAGAGAAGAACACGTGACATCGTCTAGACATCAATCATGGCAAGGAGGCTGTTCAATCTCTTCGAGACAAAAGCAGATAAAGTATGTTCATGAGGTCAAAATAAGACAATTCAGCGAGAATTGTTTCAATACCCGAACGGCTTTTAGCAAATTTGTAGTCACTGCTCTCCCATTTCATCAGCTGGGGCATACTGTTGTATTCCTGGCCACGCTCTTTCATACTCTGATGGATATTGTCAACGCTACTAGATAGGTCTACAGCAACTACACATTTTCAGATGAGACCCCAAAGTTTCCTTTCATATACATATTACGGCCGTTCGAAGTGCTTTTGACGTTATTTAGACATATTGGCTCTCAAACGACTCAGAAAAATCTCATACGAAAAAATTAGAGAAAGTCTGTCAGGGTACATTTGACCAGCTCAATGTACCAATGTCCGAAACCGAATGTTGGTAAATATATTCTGTAGTCTTTACGCAGCCTACACCCTGTTATGACCAAGTCTTTTTGGTACAGACGATTTAGCATGGCGAAATATTGAGCAGACTGCCATCTCACTTTGCCACTTGATTGTGTTCATGGAAAGTTAATTTCCTACTTAAAACTACTGGTAACATGATTTGAAAATGAAATTCACTTTACCATTATTATTAATGAGAAAAGAGCAAGTACATTCGAAAAAATAAAGTGATTGCCTGCCTCTAATTTACGGGAACCTACTGCTAGAAAAACTGGTTTCGGTAATCTGAGCACATAGCGGTATCTGACAACCATAACTTTCGGTTGCCCTATGCCTCGAATCGACAAATGTTGAGGATGTTGTGAAATCAAAATCAGGTTTTGTCCAGATCTGGCATAATCATGACTCGAGACAGCGTTCATGGTTGAAAAAAAAATGCAAAGTTGTGATTTCATAGCATAAATAAGCAGTTATGTCTTTTCGACCATATTTCTGATCTGGCGCTCACAATTTCACTCACGGTCGACGCGGACTTGGATGTACTTCAATATGATTAAGCAAGGAGAACGGAGCTTGGAGCTACAGGGGACGAAGAATGTTACCGAACAGATATGGCGAGATGGGAGGATTCTGCACACTAACGGCAAGATCCGAGGTGACTAGATTTCTAGTCACCTCGGATCTTGCCGTTAGTGTGCAGAATGACTCTTGGCTCTTGACTCTTGCCGTTAGTTGGCTCTTCTTCATGACGTGACTAAAGCTCACGTCATGACCCACTACAAAACTTCTACAAATCTCTGCTCCCTTGATCTTGCTTATGTCCTAACCAGCTTGGCTCCGGGCTTGTACTTCCAGCTTGATTGTCTTATTGTTGGGTCATTCCATGTTTGATGTCATTAGTTGAATCTGATATGCTTGCTCTATTCTCCGTATGGCAATGAGGAGCATGGTTTATATCAAATATATATATATATATATATATATATATATATACACATACTCTCAAGAAATCCACCGAGGCATACAACAATAGCCTATCTTCTTCAGATCCATGAGGAAGTTTATCACCACGGTATTACTCGGTATGCACGAAATCATTTTCTCGTTTTCATGCATGATAGAAAAGATTGCAGCAGTCAACCCCATCTGTTACAAGACTGCTCTTATAATTTGACACATGAAGAGGTCACCAAGTATTGAAGACATAGCGACTTATACGTGGGTGTACATGAAGAACCCTTCTGAATGAATCAACGTTTCAAGTACCGTCTCAAACTGGTCAGTCATGATTGTCTTTTCTGAAGCTAATTAATCAGTTTACACACAATGATTTCAGATCAAACTTTCAAACAGGTGATTATAAGTATATTTGAGGGTAAGAGCTCAATGTTCCGGCCAAAATAGGGCTTAGCGAACTAAATGAGAGAATAAGCGGAAAACATACAGTTTTTGGAGCTTATGTAATACATGAGCGATGAAAAAATTGAAGAAAAAAACTATTTGGAGGAAATTTGAAGTTTGAGGTCTCCAGTTGTTGAGAATATTGTCTACTATGTTACAGTCACGTGACATTTTTAGCAACGATTAAACTTGTCTTATCTATCAAGTAGTAGATATCATCTAGAAAGTGCGTTGTAAACACTCCTCTGTGGTTGCGCACATGTAGTAAAAAGAACTCATATTACATTTTCCTTAAGTTGTAGATATATGTCTCCAAGATTACCCCTCGGACTCCATTAGTTTGTATATTCACTTGTTCTCGCCGAGCATTTCTTTCTTCCTTTCTCAACATGCTTCTTGTTGTGATCTATGCAAGAAGAAAATTTTAGTCTTCACAAACAGAAAGTTGCTTCAACATGATTTTTCAACCTAAACTACTCATACCTGCAAAATTATATTCCCTATCATCCCTTCTCAATTACTAATCGTTGAATCTAAGATCTCTTCTAATTTTTCGTTGGTTCTCAAATTTTGGCTCCGTGTAATATCTAAAACAGTGAAAGATTGTCTGACATTAAAGACTTAAAAAAATTCTTCATGCAATCTGCCCATACTATCGTATTTTACCCAAATTGGATAATTAACGAAGTCGTCAATTCTCTCTCGTGTATATATATATATATATATATATATATATATATATATATATATATATATATACACATACTCTCAAGAAATCCACCGAGGCATACAACAATAGCCTATCTTCTTCAGATCCATGAGGAAGTTTATCACCACGGTATTACTCGGTATGCACGAAATCATTTTCTCGTTTTCATGCATGATAGAAAAGATTGCAGCAGTCAACCCCATCTGTTACAAGACTGCTCTTATAATTTGACACATGAAGAGGTCACCAAGTATTGAAGACATAGCGACTTATACGTGGGTGTACATGAAGAACCCTTCTGAATGAATCAACGTTTCAAGTACCGTCTCAAACTGGTCAGTCATGATTGTCTTTTCTGAAGCTAATTAATCAGTTTACACACAATGATTTCAGATCAAACTTTCAAACAGGTGATTATAAGTATATTTGAGGGTAAGAGCTCAATGTTCCGGCCAAAATAGGGCTTAGCGAACTAAATGAGAGAATAAGCGGAAAACATACAGTTTTTGGAGCTTATGTAATACATGAGCGATGAAAAAATTGAAGAAAAAAACTATTTGGAGGAAATTTGAAGTTTGAGGTCTCCAGTTGTTGAGAATATTGTCTACTATGTTACAGTCACGTGACATTTTTAGCAACGATTAAACTTGTCTTATCTATCAAGTAGTAGATATCATCTAGAAAGTGCGTTGTAAACACTCCTCTGTGGTTGCGCACATGTAGTAAAAAGAACTCATATTACATTTTCCTTAAGTTGTAGATATATGTCTCCAAGATTACCCCTCGGACTCCATTAGTTTGTATATTCACTTGTTCTCGCCGAGCATTTCTTTCTTCCTTTCTCAACATGCTTCTTGTTGTGATCTATGCAAGAAGTATGATCGGAATATCTCGTTGAGATTCTACGAGGTAAGGCCCAAAGGAGGATACTATGTTGACGTGTGAATCAAAAGCTGCTTCCACTGAGAGTTGAACTCAGGACCTCCCGCTTACTAAACGGGTGCTCTAGCCAACTGAGCTATAGAAGCTTGCTGCCCTATTTTACTGTGAAACATTATTGAAATCTTCTGTAAGAGTGATATTTCTTTTGATACTCTAGGTACAACTGCAAATCATACATCTAGGTACATGCATCATCATACATCTTGCTTCATAAACAAAGTAGACCGAAAGCAATCGCATCCATAACCCTTCATACAAGCATACCTCATTCATCGATGGATTGATTAAAAGATCGAAGAACCAATAAGAGCATAAAGCCAACTCATATCACAAGTCTGCCCGGCTTGCTTAGTTGCACAAACTTATACAAACTGCCTTACTGCCAGGTGTCCGACTTGCTTAGTTGCACAAACTTATACAACTGCCTTACTGCCAGATGTCAGGGATCCCAATTTCTTTCTACTCTTTCTTTCTTGCTTCATGCTCCATTCGGGCAGCACCGAGTCAGCCGGATTTTATCTTCGGCGGATCCGACTTTCCGACAACCATGAGGCCGTCAACCGGATTAAATTCTTACAACCATGCAGAGGCATGTAGAGGCAGTTGTTTTAGTTAAACTAAAACTAAACCGCAGGAGGGATAGCTCAATTAGATTCCCTAATAAATTCAAACTGTAATATTTGTAAACACTGAGAACATATTGTGACAACAAAATTTTAGGCGGCAAAGTTTAGGGTTTTTGAAAATAGGATCACATCGATATCCTCCAGCTCGTCGATGTTTCAACGTCGCTTTTGGGTGCCAGTGTTAGTGTCGTGAGAAGCTCGTGCTTGTCCTTTTCTTGTCATTTCAGGTGCTTTTTCCAGGTGTGGTGACAGCATAAAGGCAAGATGGATTGTGGAGGATCCACCGTGGGATGACCCTTTCAATTCGTTAATCTTGAATAGGTCGAATGGGACGGCCTACATCAAAAGCTCGAGGCTTAACGATATTATTTCGGGAGAAACATCTTGTTATAGAGATGCGAAGATGAAATTTGTGACACGTTGCTCATACAAGGGTGGAGAGGCTAGACACCGTTGGAAATCGTATACAATGTACTATTGCAAATATGATACTCGAGAAAGGGGCAAGAAGAGTATGTTTAGCTCGAATTGTATTCAAGATCCATCAACAAAGGCAAAATTTGGTCCAGGCAACAGGGATAGATTAGATCATGATTCTCATCACAAGGCTATTAGTGCAGGTTTAGTGCCATTAAACTGATGCATAATGATCACATTCCACCAAGGAACACGAAATTGCTATACAAGCATAGAAGACACGTAAGTGCTGCAGGTGTAGCTTGTCATGGCACAACGTGTCCGGATAGTGTTGGCATGCTGTGGAAAGTGAATTCCACTGGTAACCGGCCAAACAAGTATTTCTGGCAAAAAAAAATTAAAAAAATGAAGTTTTCTTTTATAGCTACAGTAAGTTTGTAGGTTAGAAAGTAATAACTACGGGATAAGAAGGTCGGAAAGTCGAAACAAAGAAATGAATTAGGGGAGGCACGGATTGAGGAGCAGGAAGCAGCACAAGTTCCCACAGAGGGATGTACACGACCTTTTGCACGACGATCTAAGGATTGCATTAGGGCTGTTCGGTGATCTCATAAGGAGTGGATTTGAATTTGGTGTTGGAAGACGAGCACGATCTTGAAGACTATACAATGTTGCCAGATCGGTGGATTGTGGAGGAGATGGAGTGGTTCTTGAATGGGTAGCAGTGCACTAGGTTCAGTACACGGGTAGATCTGTCGGGCAAGAAAGGTGCGGCGAAGAAGGAATGACTGGTGCGTTATAGGGGAGGAGGAGGGCTGGAACGAGCGAGAAGAGAAGGCTTTGTTTTCGCTTTGAGAGTAGGATGAGGGTTTAAGAGGTTAGGCGATGGTAATTGCAGGTATGGAGAAAACGAAGGCTCTGGCCGTGGGGAAAAACGGGCACACGAAGGTGGGGAAGAAATCGAAGGCCGCTGAGAATGGCGCTGCGAAGGTCGTCGAGGCGGAGGACGTGGAAGAGGGTGAAGTTTTGCCCATGGATGCCGAAGGTGGCAGGTCAGGGGATGAGAGTCCGAAAGTAGACAAATCCTCAGTGGAGGATGGCAAGGTGGACAAATCCGGGGATGCCGGTCATAATGTCAATAGATCCGAGGAGGAGAATGAGAGCGACGATGAGGAAGAAGATGAAGCTCGGGGCCGATGTCGAAGTCGGCACTAAAGAATGCCGTGAAAGCGAGGAGGTACAAGATTAAGAAGAAGATGCGACAGGCGGCCGAGAAGGAGAAACGACATGAAGAATCCAAGAGGAAACGAAAAGAGTGGGAAGAGAAGCTCGCCCTCATGACAGAGGGGAGGTAGAGGGCAGAAGGTGGACCTAACTGAGCGTATCAAGGAGGTTTGTGGTAACCCACTTTTTGTTTTTTGTCGGAACTAAAACATTTTTGAATAGTAAACACCGCGGCAGCAGCTGTAAATAGTAATCGGTACGCGAAACCAGAGTAAAAAGAGGATCGAGTATAGTCAAGGGGTTTTGGTCTTAGGCCACAGTGGGACGCTTGGTACGGAACGGGCGGTTCATGCTGCAGGATCCGCTTCGAGCACCTTCGGCGGTAGATCACTCATAACTTTCTCAATTCGTAACGCCTTGAGTTGCTTTGGGTCTCGTTTGAAAGAGCTCAACGCGCTGGTTCTAACGAGCCCAAGAACTTGTGAAACGGAGGAGAGGTCACTGAGTTATGAGTGTCGGAAGTTACTGATGGGGGGCCTTCGGTGGTAGAGCGACTTTGGCGGTACGCCTTCGGCGGAAGAACAGCCGGAAGATGCGCCTTCGGCGGTAGACGCCTTCGGGTCAACGCCTTCGGCGATGCGGGAGAGTGAATTCGGCGGAAGAGTGAATCCCTCATAACTTTCTCAATTCACAACGCCTTGACTTGGTTAGGGTCTCGTTGGAAAGACCTTGATGCGCTAATTCTAACGAGCCCAATAACGCCACGAACGGAGGAGGACTCCGGGAGTTATGAAGGTCGCAAGACACTCAGCTTCTCCCTTACGAGTAGGCGAGGAAAGTTTGTCCTATGCGCAGACGAGGGAAGTCCGCCTACGCGTAGGCGAATTAGGGTTTGAAGTCGGCGGGACGTCCACCGCGAAGGCCGCCTACGCACAGGCGCTTCGGCATCGGTGGGAAATCCGCCTTCGGCCCTAGATGTACGCCTTCGGCGATGCGAGAGAGTGCATTCGGCGGAAGGGTGAATCCCTTATAACTTTCTCAATTCGTAACGACTTGACTCAGTTAGGGTCTTGTTGGAAAGAACTCGCGACGCTTGTTTCAACGAGACCAAGAACTCTTGAAACGGATAAGGCGTCTCTGAGTTATGAGCGTCGGAAGCGACTGTCATGGTCAGGAGAGAGGCCTTCGGCGTTAACATATAGAGGGGCCTTCGGCGTTAACAGTTAGAGGGGCCTTCGGCCCAAGGCGGCATGCGAGTAGGCGGCTTGCGACCCCGACGCGGACGCCTGCGAGTAGGCGGCCTACGTGTAGGACGCCTCTGCATTGGCAAATGCCTTTGGCAGAAGAGTAAAACCGTCATAACTTTCTCAATTCTTAATGGTTTGACTTAGTTAGGGTCTTGTTGGAAAGAGCACAACCCGCTTGTTCCAACGAGACCAAGAACGTTTCGAACGAAGCAGGGATCCGTGAGTTATGAGCGACGGGGGTGACTGTTATAGATAGGCGACTCCATGCGGACGGGAGACTGCCTGCGCATAGGCGAGCGCCTACGCATAGGCGAGACTCACCTCCGGTGCAGCGCAAGAAAGGAAAGGAGCCGGCGGAAGATCCGCCTTCGGCTCAAGGGACTTAGGTGCCACGTGGCAGAAGATTCCCGATGGCGGAAGTTGGCGGGATTATGTCAAGTGTGGGACGCAGAACGGCGGGGCCCATATCTTTGTGATGGACGGTTGGATGGATCTGAAATTTTGTGGGGCCGTTGATCTTGGCCGGCCACGCATGCCTGCAAATTTTCAGCCTCAGATCTTGGATGGAAAGGCGCTGGCGGCTCTGTACAGTAGGCTTAGGATTCAGATTTAGGGCTAGGGTTAGATTTAGGTTGTAAGTTAGAGGGGAAGGCAGCCGCCGATTCCTCAGGTGTAGGATCTGTTGCGGCTCGCACCATGGCAGTGTAGTGCTAGGTAGGACTTAGAAGGTATAAAGTAGTTCAAGGCGTCTTGCCTTGTGATCTTTCCCAACATCAGAAGTGCAGATCAGGAACTCATTTTCTCTGCGTGTTTGTGTCCTTAGTTCTGTCACCACGCAAGAGAAGCTACAACTTGGCGTTCCGCATTTTGTAGCTGAAGACCTTCGGCCAAATGTTCAGAGCTAGTACATTGGTTAGAGACTTGGGTAGTTCGGATCTACACCTGCGGGTGATTGCCGATGCTTAGAGCTAGTGACTAGTTAGATACTTGAATAGTTTCGCCCCTACACCTTCGAATGATTGTTCCTGATTGTACTCCTTCGGGATTTTTCCCCTGAATGCCAAAGTGAAGTTTTGCTACTTCGTGTAAACCTTGGTTGAAAATTCAGGTTACGCTGCAGCAGGTGCCTTTAGGGTAACCCCTGTAGTATTTTCTGGGAATGACAAGTGCCTAAGAATTCAAACTCTTCAATAGACTGTTATGGTGTGTTACTGGAATGTTTCTCAGTGAGTCCTTCAGTGCGGACCTGCATTCTCTGCGCGTTTAGTGAGTTGAGAGTGTTGTTCACCGCGTTTGAGTGACTTCAATCCGAAGTAGGCAGTCCAAACCGGGTTTCCTACGCTAGCAGCAAGCTAGTGGAAGTGTTGTAAAAGTCGGAGTTGGGAGTCACTACCTGCAGCTTCGCTGAGTGTACTCTTGAGAGACCTTCCCCCTGAAATTTTGAGTAGAGGTCCTAACGGATCTCTGGGTTGTGTTTCTGTAGTTTCAGGTGTGTGTGTGTGTGTGTGTGTGTGTGTTACGCTGCACTGTGCGACCTCCGAGTGGACACTTGCAGTATTTTTGGGAGTGACAGTCGCCTGAGAATTCAAACTCCTCAATAGTCTGTTAAACGTGACACTTTGTACCCTGTGTGTTCCTATGTTCCTGTGGGTTCGACCTTTCTACCACTATATTGCAGTTTTAGCCTTTAGTGGGTTATTACGAGGTTCTTGGCAATTATCCGGAAGGTACCACTATATTGAAGGAGCTTATTCAGAACGCAGATGATGCGGGAGCCACCCGAATTTTGTTCTGCTTGGATCATCGGCAACATGGAGTGAAGTCGCTCGTTTATGGACCGTTGGCGGAGTGGCAGGGGCCCGCATTGTTGGCTCATAACAATGCACAATTTTCCGAGGAGGATTTTGAAAGTATATCCAGAATTGGAGACAGTAAAAAGCGTGGGCAAGCATGGAAGACAATACGCTTTGGGGTTGGCTTCAATTCTGTGTACCATCTATCGGACTTACCCTCGTTTGTTAGTGGTAAGTATGACGTTCTCTTTGATCCACACTGCAAATTTCTCCCGAGAGTTTCTGCAGCAAAACCGGGAAAGAGGATTGGCTTTGTGAGCTCCTCCGGGTTGCAACGCCACAAGGATAAGTTCGCACCGTACATTGCATTCGGCTACGATATGCAAAATCCATATGATGGAACTCTATTTCGTTTCCCCTTAAGAAGCGTGCAGCAAGCTGAAGATAGTAGGCTCTCCATGCAGTTGTACACGGAGGATGATATGAGCTTGTTGCTCTATGAGCTGTACTTAGAAGCCGTTCCAGCCATGCTTTTTCTCAAAAACATTGAAGTAATAGAAATATACGACTAGCAAGAGGGTGCATCCGATCCCAGCCGAGTCTACTTGTGTCAGGTCCAGTCAATGTCAGTAGAGATTCGCTTGCACAGACAGGCATTTGCAAGACTATCGATGGCACAAGTGGCACCGAATAAAGGTTCATCGCCTGTGCCGAACCATGACATATTTGGTCTCGACTTTACAAGTGAAGTTTACTCGGAGTGCATAAAGGAATCAGAAGAAGCGAGTCGTTTTTGATTTCTCAGTGTATGGGCGCAACTGCAAGCAGAATCGGAGCACTGGCACAAAATGCAGCAAAGGATTATGATTTACATCTTGTTCCTTGGGCATCTATAGCCGCCAACGTCTCCAGTGATGCTACAAAGGTACAGAATGCAATGGAGGGCAGTGCATTTTGTTTCCTACCTCTTCCAGCAAAGACGGATTTACCAGTGCATGTGAATGGATACTTCGAGCTTTCATCAAATCGTCGTGACATTTGGTACGGTCAGGATATGGATAGAGGTGGAAAACTACGGTCGGACTGGAACGTGTGTCTACTGGAGGATGTAGTTGCTTCTGCCTTTGCACAATTGCTGCTCGAGGCTTCAAGGCGCCTTGGACATTCTTCTCTCTACTATTCCTTATGGCCCACTGGAAACTTCTCTGAGCCGTGGCTGACTTTGGTCACGCGCCTCTTTAGTAGTGTAGCTGGACTGCCAGTGCTGCATACTCCAACCGGAGGTGGAAAGTGGATTAGTCCTGTTCAAGCTCTCTACCACGATGAAGAGTTCTCAGCTGCTGAGAATCTTGCTAAGGCTCTTGTCGCTGAGGGATTGCCTCTTGTACGAGTGTCATTTTGAGAATTATTGTGTTCCTTCTCCAAGGGTGGTTCTTCTTAGGACAGTCAGGGATCAGTTGCGGAAACAAGTTAGGCATGGAGGTTTGATGGACAGGAGCTATGTGTTGGTGCTTTTGGATTATTGTTTAGGGGATGTGATTGATGAAGAAGCAGCTGCCGTTCTTCAAGGATTACCTCTTGTACCGTTGTCAGATGGTGGATGGGCAGTGTTTGGAAGAAGAGGCAAGGGCAACGTCTTTGTATGCAATGAACTAGAATGCAAGATTTTTCAAAGCTTACCTAGCAAGGTTGTCTCCAGGAAGATTCCCGGGATGGTCCTTAGTAGACTCGAGAGCATAGCTCATCTCTCTAGCACCAATCTTTGTCCTCTTACCGAGGTTTTTCTGTTGGAAATGCTTCCCTACTTAATGCCAGCTGAGTGGAGAAATCAGGACGAAGTTGAGTGGAGTGCCAACGAATGTCGAGGAACTTCGACACCTCCATTCGACCATAATCTCCATGATTTGGAATCCGTAGAATTTGCAGGTGGGAGATCGTTCGGAAAGTATGGGAAGGATTGTTGGCCACCGTAGCGTTGGTGCAAAATGTGGGAGATTTGCAAGAGAGCAAGGAATGGAGGAATGGAAAAGGCGCAGAGGGCGTGGATGATGGTCAGGAGCGCGACATTTTCTGGCAGTGCAGGCCTATGGGCTGGGGAGGTGAAGGTTTTAGGAGGAAAAGAATGGACTGGGAGTGTGAGTAGTGGTGGTTTGCTGCCATTGAATGGGATCAGTGACAACAAAGGATCTAGGAAGGACAGGACCAGGTTGGGAAGAGGAATTGGATCTGGCAAAGATAAGACAGCCGGAAGAGGGCACAAAGGTCAGAAAGCGCGTAGTGTACACAAACCTAGGCTAGGATTTGAGGGTGGACAGACTCCTCTTCGGCTCAGAATTCCAAAGAGGGATTTTACCAACACTCTTGGGCAATCATATCAACCCGTGAACCTGAACAAAATAGCTGAGCTTGTGTGCAAAGGTCGGATCAATGCGTCGCAACTTATCACAATGAAGACTCTAAAGGATGCAGGGGCTGTTGGAAAAAAGATGCTGGACGGTATGAAGATGCTTGAAAGAGCATCTGAACATTTTTTGTTACCTATCCACATTGAGGTCAGCAGAGTGTTTGAGCGTGCCAAAGTAGCGATTGAAGCTGCCGGAGGAAGTGTCCGAAGGGTACATTACAATCAGCATGGACTTAAAGTTTTGCTTGATCCAAATTGGTTCCACAAGAAAGGTTGCATCTTGCCTCAACCTGCGCGTCCACCTTTGAAGGTGATACCAAAAGTTGACGGAATCGGGTCGTTGCCAGCTCCTGTTACTCCCCCACCATCTGCTCCTACTGTCCCAGAGACCACTGTTTCAGCTTAAATGGAGCTCTCAGCTATTAGGTTTTCTCGTCATTTACTGAACAAAGGTGGGCTCTGTACATAAAAACGATCGCTTTTACACTTTTTGGTCGAAGGTGTGTTTTGGTATTGGGCCTGCCACCATAATTGCAATCTGTAAGGAGTTTTGATACGATCATCGGTCAATGATTTAGGCGAGGTTCAGATTTATTAGAGAGACTTTTTAGTCTAGAAGCAGATCTCAAACCCAACCTTCCCCACCAATCTTTTTCCCTAAGTTACGGATCTGCTCTGCCGACTTACCTTACCTACATTGTTTTATCGACTAGAGGCAGTGCACCTTGAAGGCCTGATGAGGTTATGAGTACCGACCGTAGAAGTAGGAGCATCTTGGGTTCACAAGGGGCCAAATGAGCAGGCTCCTACAGAGTTTCCATGATGTCCGGCAGAGCTCACGGTTCGAGTAATTCTAGGAGTAGGTTAGCTCCCGGATAGTATGGCAGCGATTAACGATGGGGCTTATGAGCACCCGGCTGCTAATCCGGAAAGTTAGCGGCGGCCACTAGAAATAAGAGTCAGCCACCGGTCCGGAATTGACGGGCTTTTAGTTGGTCACTGGTAGAAGATAGGATTTAAGCCAAGGTTTTCTCAAGGTAGGGGCCTCTTTTTGTACTCCGTTTTGAGTTGTTCAATTGAGAACATACACATAGCTCTTATCTGTGGACGGTTGTCGAAACAGGCCCATGGACTGTTGTCTTGAGTAGATATTCAGGAAGAGTGTTGAACAGTATGAGAATCTGGTGAGTGCCCGGAGTGAGTGGAAAAGGGTCAGGCGTAGAGTGTTGACGGTTTCCATCGTCTAGAGGAGCCTAGAGGGGAGGGAAAACTTACTGCAGCATAGGCTAGTAGTCTTCAGGATACGAGCGTTGTTTATAGACCGGATTGCTTCATAGAGTCGGTCACTTTCTGATGCTAGGATTAAAGCCACGTTACTAACTGCGAACCAGTCCGGAAGTGAGAGACGACGTCAAATTAGGTGTTGATGTTATTGTCTTAAAGGGGAATAACTGTAGATCTTCGTTGGAACGAACGCGGAGTGGTTTACTTCGGGAAATGTTCAGTGTAAACTAAGTGGTTTCCGAAGGAGTACTGATACCACGTCGTGCTACACATGCCATCTCAGATGGCGCACAATTTATCCTCCGAGTGCAGGTAACGACATATTTTTAATATTTTTAATTTATTTGTTTATCGTTCACAGTCAATTGTCTGTCATATTTGTAATATGTACAATAAGTTTACTGTTATTAAAGTTTGTAAAACTTTGCCGCTAAGCAAACACTTTGTTTAATATTTTCTACGTTCTTTCACCAGGGAGTGGGTTGAATGCGAGTTCAGAAGAGGTTTAATTCCTCCACAAAATCTCATGCATGCTGCAAAAGCACTGTTTGAAAATCATCAGAGCTTATGCTATGTGCAATTATGCTATATGCTCCCTATTAGAGATCATTATATCACATTTGCTGATGTGTATAATATCAGATTGGAACTCGACAAAGAAACTTGAAAAAGACATGTTAATGATAGAATTAGCATAGAATTATTGATGAAAACGAATTCATCTCAAGTTGTTCTATATCAGGCACCAAAAAGTGATCCATTTAAACCATTGAGGCTTGTTGTTACAAGATCCTTGCTCCTAGAAAGGTTGCTAAAACATGAATATTGAGGTTGTGTTGCTATGGATGGAACGCATGGCACGCAGAAGTATAAGGTAATATTTTTATGTTTTTATCATCAGGCTTCCATGATTATGTAAATTCTACCTCACAATTTGCAATATCTGCAAGATACTTGGAAAATTGAAGGTTTGAAGCTTTCACATGTCCAGTAAGACGTTATTGAACTTCTCAATGTGTGCTGTATATGTTCCTTTTATATACCTTGATCACGTCTAGTTTATCAATACATAAAAATAGTGAATCATTTATTTTTATCAAGTTTAGCTTAGTATCAATGAAGATAAGGACTTTGTAAACGACTGCTAGCAGCAAACTCATACGTTTATTTTATTTTTTGTGATGCAATATCCACTGTATACCCTTAGGGTGACGAATATGAACACAGACATCCTACTATTTTTGGATTCCTTGAAAGTGAAGAAACACAAGATCTGATGGAATTATTATCTGTAGAGAAGAAGATGGTCATGATGCACTTGTGCTTCATGACGGATTGTGCTGACAATGAGAGACTTGACCTAGATATTGTTTTTCCACATATCCCTGTATTTCTTTGCATATATCATGTTCGAAAAGCATGGACAAAGAAATTGATTGAGATTGTGAGTGATCATGAAAAGAGAGCTATTATGAATGTTGCATTATGATGAATGAATGTTGTTCAATATCCTAGTGAAATAAAACCATTTTGTCTAATTCCACATTTTGCAAATTTTCATGCGCAGATTACAGTCTGGAAATTTACCACGAACTCACGTTACATAAATGATTTGTTCAGGGATGACGATTAATGTTGCTGAGACGTTTTAAAATTATGAACCTTGATTCTGCGTATTTTGATATTATTGTGAGTCAACTTTTGATTTATTAATGAATGTACTTGAGTGCTACTCAAGTTATCTTAAGAGTTTGTCGGTAGAGACGTCTTTCTCTAAGGTCTTTCTTGTTGAAGCTTGTTGAATTGCAGGAAGATGCGCCATCAGCTTGGATGTGACAGCTTGATATTTTTTAGTCAAAAGTCTTTGGAATTCCAGGAGTTGAAGGCACGGAAATGTGCAGGGATGAAAATGAACTTACAATTTGTGATTTGGTTGGGGTATTGACCCTCAGAACTTTAATCGTTCATTGCATACAGATTTACTTAAATAATGAAAACTCCTCTTTGAAGTTGAGGAATTAATACTATCCATTTTTTGACATGCACTCGACCTCTAGATTCAATGACTGACTAGTATAGTATATTAGACAGTACCATAGAATTCTTGGGTACACTTATCATGATCAGGTTCAAAGCATTGCACGTAAGTATCGATGACATTAATTCATTGCATCTTTCAAAAAATACAAAATGTACAATTTTTTCTTAAAAGAAGTCACATATGCAGTATAATTCCACATATCGTATTGCCAATACGTTGAAGTTGGAGATAATTTCATTCGATACTTGTCATGGTCGTATCTGTTAAGATCTTAAAACTTTACAGTTCAACTTGAGACTCTATTGTGTATATTCCTCTCATTGTTCTCCATGATTGTACAAGCTGTAAAATTTTACGTACTGAGTTCTACTCAATATGAATATGTAGTTAGGCTCAACCAAGCAAGACATGGAAAAGGCAGATTTTTTTTTTCACAACCAATATGAGAAGAAAACGTAGCAAGGTTCTAATTGTAGTCACCTTAAGAAAGAGCTATTGTATGTTATATGTATTCTCCTCAAGAAGTTTTTTTCAAAAAATTACTTTCAAAAAATTACCTCAAGATCATTACTGAACATACACATGAAACTGAGACAAGTTGAGTTAAACAAAGCCAGCTTCAACCCAATACATTTCTTTCTTTTTTTAAATGCCTTTCCTCCTCTGAGAGCATTGGCAGCTTCTAGATTCTCAAGGAAACTCTCAAATAGACACAAACGCAAACTGGAAAAAGCTGAATTTCTAAGAGAGATGATCAACTTGACTCTTTCTTCCTAATTTAACTGCTCGTGATGAATGAATGTTGTTTCAATATCGTAGTCAAATAAACTCATTTTTTCCAATTCCACATTTTGCAGATTTCCATGTGCAGATTACAGTATGGAAACCACATACACTTCATTTGTAACACCTTCTTTTAAGTCATTGTGACAACAGTTCCTCATTGTGGAATTCAAGTGCCTTACACAAAGTGACATTGTGATTTGCTGCATGATACCGTGCACAAATTCACTCGTTTTCTATTTCACTTCTTGGGCTAGATCCCTATGACAACACTGCGCGTGTTGTTAATTAACATTACCACACATCTGCTGCACCCGTCAGACGGATAGATGTATTATTCATGGTTTGAACTCCTGTATGTGAACGTGAAAACATAACAGGATAGTTTGAACCAACCACCATCAGTTTTCAACAGTGGTATCTTCTTATGGATTTGGTATGTAGCTGAGGTGATCTCTTTA